TAGAATGAAGTTTAATAGTTTATTAATAGGCAACCAGAAACAGGGAGATACATCTTTTGTAAATGGAAAAGGGGATTCAGATGGAGAAAGTGACAGCAAGGGGAAAGAAAGGGAATAAAAAGAATTAATATATGTTAAGTACATGCACCTACCCGTTAAGATGAATGTAAAATTAAATGCAGCAAACACATACTGATAATGAAATTCTTTTTAAAGGTTAAAGGAGTGTGGATGGAAACTCTTTTTGGAGGGGATTATTTTGTTTTAGTTTTTTTTTTTTTTTTTTTTTTTTTGGTCCACCCAAACAAAGTATGAGGTAATTAATATTACCAAGATTATTTGACAGAAACTGCAGTTGTTTTGGATACCTATTTTTATATCTGTAAGCAAACCAAATAGATCTTGAAAGTATGTTTGATCAACTATTTTTTGTGAAGAGGAAAGAGGCTGTTAAAAAATTCTACAATTACTGGGCCAGGGATTTAGCTCAGGGGTTCAAGCTCTTGCCTGTTAAGTGTGAGATGATTTCAATCTCTGGTACCAAAAAAAAAAAAAAAAGAATTCTACAATTACTAAAAGAACAAAATTTGGAATGCATCTCTTGTCACATTGACACTGTCTCTACTCAAAATTTTGGTGGTGCAGCCACTATAGAAAAGTGGGGCTGGGGATATGTCTCAACCATACAATACCCACCTAGCAAGCACAAGGTCCTGAGTTCAATTCCCAGTACCAAAAAAAAAAAAAGAAAGAGAAAAATGTAGGACAGTTCCTCAAAAATCTACAAGTAAGATCACTGTGTGATCCAGCAATTTTACTTCTGGCTATACTCCCAAAGCGGGCTGGGGATTTAGCTCGGCGGCATAAGCGCCTGCCTTGTAAGCAGGCAGTCGTGAGTTCAATCCCTGGTACCGATAAAAATGAAAAAGACAAAAAAAAAAAAAAAATGCTATACTCCCAAAGAAATGCAAAGCAAGGACTCAAACATATTGGTACAACAATGTTTACAACAGCATCATTCACAATAACCAAAAGATGTAAACAGCCTAGATGTTAATCAAAGATGAATCAATACACAAAATCTGATATATACAAACAAAAGGACAGTATTTGGCTATAAAAAAAAATAAAATAAAATTCTGACACATTACAACATGAATGGTGACCTTACACTAAGTGAAGTAAGTCATCACAAAAGCAGAAATACTGCATGATTCTACTTATACGAGACACCTAGAACAATTAAAATCATAAAGACAAAAACTGGTGGTTGCCATGGGTCACGGAAAAGGAGGATTAGGAGTCATTGTTTAACAAATACAGCCACAGTTTCATAAGATAGAATGCAGTGATGGTTGCACAGTAGTATGAAGGTAATCAATGCCACTGAACTGTACCTTTAAATGGCAAATGTTTAAGTCTGTGTATTCTACCATAAATAAGTTTTTTAAATGAGGACAATTTGGAACAGAATAGTTTTGTAGTCCCTACAAAGCAAGTTCATCTACCTACAATCCCAATTCTATCTCATTAAGTATGAGCTACAATCTTCAATCCACTCATGACTTTTCCACTGATTTCAACGGAAGTCGTATTTGTTGAGGTAAAATAGATATAAACTCAAAAGAATTCAAAATCCTTTCTTAAAAGCTTTTCCATACTTAAACATTATATTACTAGGGTCTATTATGTAGCAATGAACAAAATCTGACATTTACCTTTAAATCTCATCAAAGTCTAAAATTATGTCCTTTTACAAAGACACACTGAGTTCTCAAAACTGTCACTGATTCCCACAATCATATAAGAAAATATAATTTTAGTAAACAAATATATAAATAAATAACAAATATAATGTTATATCCACATCAGTGTGAGGAAATTATTTGTCCAGTTGTAGAAGAAACCAGTGCCATCCAAGAATGTTCATGACAAAGCTTGTGGTATTATCTTTAAAATAAATTTCTCATTTCCCTTAAACTAGATAAATGCTTAGTTAATCCTAAAAATCAGAGAATATGAAAAAATAATAATCGATTTTAAACTAAGACTATGAAAATAAACTGATCTGGTACCTTCATTTGTAAGACAATTACAGGTTTGGAGCTGGGGATTTAGCTCAGCGGCGTAAGTGCCTGCCTTGCAAGCAGGCAGTCATGAGTTCAATCCCTGGTACCAATAAAAACGAAAAAAGACAATTACAGGTTCCTAAACAACAAGGTTAATGTGCTTAAAATATGTACAGTTTTCTAAATAACTTTTATTCATCAATACTTTCTTACCTAGTTAACAATATAAAATCAACTCTCACCAATTAGTAAGCAACTATTTAGAGCAAATGCCATTAGTTTTTATTTTCCATTTATAAGCAATTGTGGACAACATTGTCACTGGCCTAAAAGACCACCCTAATGTCATTCAAGTAAAAGAAAAATTTTATTAGAATTTATACATGTAGTCAAGCATACTGGCACACACCTATGTTCCCAACACTCTGAGATAATAAGATAGAAAAAGCACAAGTTCTAGCACAGCCCAGTCAATTTAGCAGTTTAGCAAGACTCTCTCAAAATAAAAAATTGCCAGGTATGGTAGCACACACCTATAATACCAGAATTTTGGAGACTGAAGCAAGAGGATTACTGTGAGTTCAAGGTGACTTTGGGTTAGGGTGAGCTGAAAGCCAGCCTGAACTGCACAGCAAGACCGTTGTCAAAAAAAAAAAGACCAAAAATTAAGTAAATAAATAAACAAACAAACAATGATAAACTTAATAAAGAAAAATAAAAGTCAGGGATTTAGCTCAGCAGTTCAAGCACTTGCTTGGTAAGCACAAGGTCATGAGTTTGATCACAGTAACAATTTTAAAAAGTATTAAAAAGTAAAACAGAAAAGTAAAAACTAATAAAAAAATTAAAAGGACTGGCGATGTAGTGCTCAATCCTGGGTTCAATCTGGGTTCAATCTTCAGTAAACTTAATTAAAATGTATATTGAAATGATTCAAATAATTACTTTGGTTTCCAAATAAAAATTCCTGGTGCTTATCAGGAAAACATTAACCCTACCTCTGAATGAAGAATACTAAATATTCTGTTTTAATGACTGTCACAAATAATAAGTTAGAAAGCAGCTACAAGTTATTAAGGAAAAAAGTTTGGTGAAATTAAAACAAAGTTACAACATTAATTTTAACTAAATCAACTAATGAGGTTAACTCTACTTACAGCTGTTGTCCAAAAGTCTTGCCCATCAGAATATAATTTTAATAACAGGATAAAACTACACCTAGAAATACAAAGTCTTAGCCAGGAGTGGGAGTGCATTCCTATAATCCCAGAACGCAAGAGGCTGAGGCAAGGATATCCTTGCACGTTCGAGACCAGCCTAGGATACAAAGTGAACCCAAGGCCAGCCTGAACCACATAGCAAGACCCTGTCTCAAAAGGACAGAAAAAAAAAAAAAAAAAGGAAATACAAAGTCTTTTTTTTACAAGATGTATTCTACATTAGATAAAAGATTGCACTGGAGAATGGGGGTAGGGCCTAATACAATGTATGAAAATACCATGCCTAAGACCCACTACTTCATAAAACAGACTCTTAAACATTAAGTTTCAGTAACAACTTAAATCTAGTGTAATAAAATTGGTACTGACCGTATATATTGGGGGCAGGGAACCAGGTCTCCCAACACAGTGAACTCACGATGGAACCCAGGATGGCCATGAACCGAAGGATATCCTCCAGCCTCAACCTCCAGAGTGCTGGAATTACAGGTGTGTGCCACCATGCCTGACTTAAGAAATTATACTTTAACATACATTTTATAAAAATAAAAAAGATGCTTAAAGATTTAGACAGGCAAAGATCTTAAGTCATTCCTAAATGTACAACTTGGGAGTCAACTTTTAAGAACCCTCCTATGTTCAACAAACTAAAATATAGATAAACAGACATTCCAAGTGTATCAGATCCATCAGATATCACAGAGTTAACAAAAAGAGCAAATTCTGCAAGTGACCATCAAGTTGTAAAAACAAGAAGAAAAACTCAGTAAACAAATATACTACCTACAGTACTGTTAGACCATGTGCAATAATGACAAGATTCAAGAAAGGGAAGTCTCCCTATACTTGACAGTGGACTCTAAATTAATGCTAAAATGCTTAAAAATACCTCACTAAAATATGTTCTACATCAAAAGGCAAAGGTAATGTTAGCAGGATATCACTTCTAACTCCAACTCTTCCTGGTACATACAGCTCTAATTTCAAAGGGCCTCCCTAAAATACTTACATGCCATTGTAACAACTGAGTTCATAAGGGAATAACTTTTACTTATCCTTTAAAATATTCCTAGAGGAAGGCCACCAGTCAACCCATTCAAGTCTGTAGGGTAGGGAAATCTGCAAATATGAATTGGATAGTATGTGAGTTCACTATAGAGCTCCACTGGAATATACAGTATCTGCCTCTTTCTGATCTTCTTACCCTCCAAAGATTCCAGTAAGGCAAAGCGTCAAATGCTTACTCTTCCTTGAAAAGAACCACCATGCCCGGGGTACCCACCATCTCTTCCTCATCATTCTTTTTACTTTCCTCTTAACACAATATACATACCACATCCATAACAACACATCCATACTCCATACACCAGGTCTCCTCAGAGAACAATTCAAAACACACCATACTTAAATGGCCCCACACTTACTATTCCCAAATTGTACACATTCCCCATATAATAGAGAAAACACATTCACACAAGTAATCCAAAAATCTTAACGCTCTCTATTAAAAATTCTCATTCAACTTGTAACACATCTATATAACCAACGTAACACATGAATTACATGCTCATAAATCACACACACGGACATGTATCAATGCCTAAACTACACATCATTGTAGTATTCAAACAAACGCTTGGAAGAGGCCACCCTTCTGACATAGGAACTCACGAGGTTAGAGGTGGGAGGGGTACAAGGCCAGAAAATTCACCTGAAAATCCGCCAGGATGATCTCGCGGTCCATGTTGGACGCCATGGCGGCGGCCGAGTTCCGAGGCGCCGGGAGCTAAACGTGCACCTGGGCGGGAGACGGCGCCTCCTGCGGCCGTTGTCGCCGTGGCGGCCGCCGCCGCCGCCGCCGGGTGCCGAGGAGCTTGCGGGGAAGCCGGCGGACTGGCGGGCGGACGACCCGGCGGGCGGGACAGCGCGAGAGGCGCTAGGCATTCATGCACTCGGTAACCTTCAGGCGCCCGCGAGCCCACGCCGCGGCCGCCCGGACAGGAAGGCTGATGTACAGGCAGGTCGGGTCTCAACTGCCGCCAGCCAAGCCGAGGGCAGGTTGCGACAGCGCGCCCCCAGCTCCTTTCAGCGGCAGCGAGAGCGGCAGGGGCGGGGAAAGCCGGTGAACGAGCAGACGGGCGAACCCCGCGGCCGCCTCCGCCTCCTCCGCTTCCTCCCTAGCTGCTGCCTCCGCCCCTGGTTGGCCAGCGCCAGGGCTGTCGCACATTTTGCCTGTCATCGAGGTCGCAAAGCTGCGCTTTCCGGCTGCCACGTGATTGCCCTCCTGTCAAGGGCTGGGCGCGCGACTACCGCCGGCGGATTCCTGTGCGCGCGGCTGGGACGCCGACCTGTAACCGCAGGAGTTTGAGGTCTCGCAACAGGTTATTCCGGTTCGTGTGGAAACAGAGGCTGCCTCCCCTAGCGGGAGGCTGGATCCCTTCCTACCTTTCACGTGGCTCTCAAACCTGCTCCACGCACTCGTACACTCTTACCCTTCTCAAACAGTGCTCCGCAAATGTAAGTTTCACCGAAATACAACTCTATACGTAGTCTCAACATTTACGCTTACACATTATCACACCTAATCCCAAAGCTCTTTCATCTGAATCGTCCTCAGACTCAGTAACAGGTACCAGACTCCCTCAGTCCACAAGAGAAACAAAGATGAAAATCTGAACCTCAAAGCGGGTAACCCAGCTAGTTAGGGGGGCGGAGGCAGGAGGATACCAAATTGGAGCCCAGTCTGGGCAATTTGGTAAAACTGTCTCAACACTTTAAAAAAAAAAAAAAAAAGTGGTAGAGGAAAAGCTGGGGTTGTTGCTCAGCGTTCAGTTAAATGCTTGCCTGACAGGATGGCTCACACCTGTGTAATCCCAGTATTCTGGGAGACTGAAGCAGGAGGATCAGAAATTCAGTTCCCGCCTGGAGAACTTACCAATACTCTCAAAATTTTAAAAAAAATAGTAACAGTGAAGAGGACTGGAGATAACAGTCAAGTGGAAAATCCCTGGGTTCAGTCCATATCACTATAAATAAGTCAATAATAAATGAACAAGTGGAGAAACTTTATATCTTATAATTGGGGAAAACGAGTTTATTTTAAAAACCTTTATGAATTAATATACTTGTCAGTTACTGAAAGTTTCAACTTAGGGTCAGAAATTGACAGCCTCTACCAAAAACTGTCAAAAAATTGCAAACAATAAGAATCTTTTGTAATTACTGTACATGATAGAGGAAGAGTAACATCAAAATATGTTGAACCCTGACTTAAGAAAATATTGGTCTGAGACCGGTGGTGGAGGGGGGTGGATAATACTTCAGCGACACAGCGCCTGCCTGGCAATCGTGAGATCCTGAGTTCAATTCCTGATACCAAAGAAAAAGAAAACCAGTCTGGACTGTAATAAGGCATTTACATTCTTTCCTGTAAAGTAAGATTGCTGATTTCATTCATGAGAGCTAAAAGAGGAACTAATGAAATCACCGCAGAGAATTGAGGCCTAAGAAAATCTTAATAAAATATTCAGTTGCGCTATGTAAGAAGTAGGCTAGATTTACTCAGTAATAGAGCACTTGCCAAGCACTTATGCAGCCCTTGGTGAAATCTCCAGCACACATACATATACACAAAACATGTATATACATTTATTCTGTGTGTCTTAAACAAAAATGGCCTATAATGTTTATGTGATAATGGTTCTTATTACTTTTTTTTGGAAGAGAATAAAACCAAATGTGACAAAACAAAGCAGAGTCAATCAAAACAAAGGATGGACATAGTATGTGATGTAAAAACAGAATACAAGGTAATCAACAATGGTTACCATAATGCCCCTTGCTACCTTAAAAAGAATTGCCTATATCATCAGGTATAATAAAATTGAACAAAACAGTATAGAACAAAACCAATAAAATCTAAACATTGGAGATATTACTGAACTTCAAAAGAAGATAACAGTCAAACCAGAATGGGAATCATAGTGAATCTTATTGCCTTCAAAGTAATTGCCTATACCCTCAAAATTGGTAGTATCAAACAGAAAAGAATAGAGTAAAATTAGTCAAAACCAGACGATGAGAGCAATATGGAGCTTCAAATCGAGTTAATAGGAAATCAAAAAAGTTACTATAATATATCCTACTATTTTTTAAAAATTTTTTTCCTTAATTAAAAAAATAATAATAGGGGCTGGAGATTTAGCTCAGCGGCATAAGAGCCTGTCTTGCAAGCAGGCAGTTGTGAGTTTGATTCCCGATACCGATAAAAAGGAAAAAGACAAATAATAATAATAATAATAATAAAACAAATTTTAAAAAGGTGGGGAGATTGAGATAAAAGAGGTCAGAACAGATACTGGTCAGAACAGAACAATTTAAGCAACATAGTGTTTCGCCACAAGATAACCTGACTTAATAGTAGTGAAATAAATCAAGCTCACATGTATGAATATCGAATAGTTTCCCTAGTGTAAGAAACGATACAAATACATAAAAGTATGTGGTAATCATGATTCCTCATTATGTGGTTTTGAAGGCTTATAAAGTTTTCACTCATTAATTGGAATGGTTCTATTCTGGGCTGTTTGATATTACTGTATGTGATGATATGAACAGCTATTTTGAAGAAAACAAGACACCATAATAACTAGTGCTGATTTAATATCATCTTGTTTTGAAGTCCCATCAAATTGTTGTTCTTCTGTCTTCATTGCTTTTATCACGTGGTATCTTATTGGATTTTATTATATGTGATAGTATAAACAAAATTTTTATAGGCAAAGAGATAATATAGAAACCATTGTTCATTTTCCGTTAGCTGGCTCTAAATACCCTGTAATACTTCCATCATCGTGAATGGTTTCACAATGTCTTGATATGTTTGATGCTATAGCATACGAAGTTATACTCAAATATTTCAAGGAAAGAGACACTATGGTAACTCCTTCCTCCCTCTTAGCCCAAGCCCTCTCACCTCTTGTTCTGCTGGTCCTCCTCAGAGTCCGGGAGGAAGGAGTGGTACCTAGAAGAGCAGAAGGGTGTGACCTTTGAGCACTCACTGTCCTGGCGTCCCAGGAGGTCTAGAGGACCATGTGACTGTGGGATGGCAAATGAGGCAGGGAAGCCTGAGAGGTCCCTCTGCGCTGCTCCCTGAGGGACAGAGAAGCCTCAGGAAAGGTAGGTGCTGTATACACCTGTGTGTAGTGAGTGCGCCACATCTCAAGAAGCAACCAGAGGGCCAGGTTTCCCCTATGGTTCCCCCCTCTGGATTTCCATAGGTAGAAACTGAGGAAAAAGAGGATCCAGCTAGACAGTTCCTTCAAGAGGCAGACTGGGGAAACCCTACAGCCCCGGGGCCCCACCCCCTACCCAGAGCCAGATCAAGGCCAGGTACTGGGAGCCTCAGCCTATTTGGTCCTGAATATATCATGTGAGCAGGAATCCTCTGAACAAACCATTTTCCTCAAGGAATACCAGGGGTGAGAACAGTTCAGGACATCTCCAAGAGCCCTCAAAGGGTCCCGGGGCCCCCTGACTTGGAGGTGGGGCACACCTGAGCAACAGCAGATCCAGCACCTGCCGCGGGGGGGCGAGCGTCCTGTAGATGGCCAGGAAGGCAGGCACGAAGAAGGGGTCCCCGCGCTGATGGGCAAGCACCAGGTTGTCCACCAGCTTCTTCAGCATGTCTGGCTCCAGGCTTCCCACCTTGCCAGCATCCTGCAGCTTTGGGCTGGACTTCTTGGGCCATGAGGTGAGAGCGAGAAGGGAGAGTTTAACCTTGGTAACACTAGCCAGCTCTCAAGAGCTCAGCACCCAAGCAGATCAGCTGCTAAGGGCATCCACTGGTTTCTCACACACCCCCTCACGCACACTCCCCCACACACCACCCAGGCAGGCAGGGCTCTGGGCTCTCCAGGCTGACTCTAACCTGTTGTGGGCTGTCCTGTGTCACCATGGGGGTTCTGGGCACGGTGTGCTCCAGGCTCTGGGGCTAATGACTACGTGAGCCTTTCAGCTTTCAAATAAGACCCTCTTTCCACCAACTCTTGCAGCCCGAGCCTAGGACTTTTGGAAACAGCAAGAAAACTTCCTGCTGACTGTTGAGTCCCTCTACCAGTAACTGTAGCCAACCAGCCTCGAGGGTTCTAGATTCTATTAGGCGCCATTTCAAGGAAGGGAGGCCACTTCCTGGGGTTCCCCTCTCCTACCTGCTTCTCCCATGTCCCCTCCAACTGCTAGATGACCCTTCCCAATCTGCTAGTTGCAAAAGCAGCAACATCAAAACAAACACATCCTGCACTATTATCCTTGTGTAGACCCCAGTTTCTCTTGGGCAGAGAAAACTCATGAAGAACCAGAATCTTCTTCTTCGTATTAAAGTTGAGGGGTTCAGGCCGCAGAATTCATTTTGGGTGAAGCATAGGGTGAAAGTTTCTGCTGAGGGCCAGTGTGATGTCTGGGGCTCTGGTTAGGTGTAGAGTGATCACGAGGGCATGTCCTTGAAGTAGGATTGAATGGTTATCACATCAGGTTGGTTTAGGAAACTAGCTCCTGGTTAGGTTGACATCTTTTATGTTAAGTTCAGGGTTAGAGTCCTGTGTCATGTGTGAGTCTTAGGGCTAGATGTATTAGAATTTGTTCCGTTCTAATTTTAGTGCTGGTGTTTTGGTTAGTGGCCATGTCATATATTATTTTCGTCACTAAACACATGGTGAAGAAAATTTTATTGGACTGTGAGCAAATGTAATGTTAGGATTTTTAGGGACAGATGCTGAGGATATAAGTGGCAGGGTTATTTTGAGGATTCAGGTGAGTTTTGGTAATAGGATAAGAGTGAGTGTTGCGTGTAGAGTTACTTCAAGAGTTAGAATGATGATTAAGGTTAGGGTTAGTGTTAGGCTTTAAGAGCATCATCATAGTGTTCGGGATTCAAGTTTAGGTTACCATTGTTGTTTTTGGTTAGGGTTGATGTTAGGTTTGAGCATTAGGGTTAGAGTCTATTTTAGGTTGGGCTTCAGGTGTTAGGTTTGAGGTTGTCCTTCGGATTTGTTTGTGACTTGGGCCAATGTTGGTGTTGAGATTGGGGTTAGTATTAAGTTTTGGTATTAGGATTTTGTGCTAAGGTTTGCAGATATGTTTGGGGTTTAGGTTTTGCATGAGTGTGAGTGGCAGGTCTAAGGATTAAAG